TAGAGACGCGGCACCGACACATTGAGCAGATCATCCACGGCGCATACCTCGCCTTCTGGGAAGAGTACGGGCTCCAGGACGCGAACAAGGCAGACACCATCCGCGCCAACCTCAAGAGAGCGCTCTGGCAGTGCTCGGCGATTGCGGACTTGGAGACGCACTCGATACGGTACAGGGACGACGTCATCCCCCGCCGCGACCCCTGCGTCAAGTCTCTGATTCATCAGGAGATTAAACTCCATGACGCTCCGCCTCCCGACGGCTGGCATCTTGCTTTGAGGGAGGTTCACGAGTCTAACCGCCAGGATGTGCGGTTCCGTCAAATTGCCCACGTCCGCAATGATCTCTCTACGCAAGACCTCGCGGGCATAGTAGTCCTCGCACACCTCGCTAGTCAGGGGTATCGGAGGTGCAGAGCACCCACGACCAATGGGCTGAGCCGGCCCGAGATTATCGAGATGGGCGTGTGTATGGCGGAGAATACCATCCGCCACGGCGTCTTCTTCTTGTATAGCAAGGTAGTAGCGGGAGAGGGCGAGGGCGGGAGCGACGAGGGCGGGAGCGACGAGGACGGGCGGCACCACGCGAGGCTGCTGCTCGATGATACCTTTGGCGAGATGCGGCGGTGGGAGGCGGGGGATCCTAGTGTGCTTCCCGGTCTGACGATGAGCGTCGCGTCTACGTTTTGCGAGAAGATTGGGTGCGAGCACCGGGATATGCTGGATGCTGCGTGTACGTTGTTGAGGGGGGATGTGTGGCGTCCTGCGGCGGAGGAGGAGGGAGAGGAGGTCGAGCCTGAGGCTGGGAGGGAGAAGCCTACTGGAGAAGAGGTCGAGCAGGAGCTTGATGTGACGGAGGTTGGGGTTCAGGAGCAGGTCTCGTGAGGGTTTATACCTGGGATGGGATACATTGGATACGTATGAATGCATGATGACCCTACAGAAGTTTGTTTTGAGGATTGCTCGACCTGATCCATCTCTCTATACCTTGTATCCCCCTTTGCCTCTCTCTCTTCTTGTATCTGAAGTATTGCAAGAAGAAGGGATCTGGAGAGCCGAAATTGAAGAGGAGCGAGATTCGATAGCAAAGCTCTCTCGAACAGCAGCGAATCACAAAGAGAGACATCGAATTTCACAGTCACGGTCTATCATACTCGAGCACCCCACTATCCCTTCATCGCCCCCCTTCTTTTGTTTTCTCCTCCTTCAAGCCCTTTTGCGATATCGGGTCTCCCGATTTCTTGTCATGTTTGGTCGTTGTCCCGAGTGATTGACAGCCCATCCACCGCTTACAGATAAGTCGAGGGGCACAATGAGAAAAGCTTATCACTGTACTAAAGCCTGATGTGCTCTCGCCTTTTCCCTGTGGCCATTTCTCTTATAACAGCATGCATGTATACTAGAAAATGTAGACATGGAAGGAGGGAGGGTAGTTCAGGACTTGATATGTCATCACAGTAACAAGAGTCTCGAATATTGGATTGGGCGGTTGTAATGTCCACCAGAGAACGTCTGGCTTTATTGTGGGCTCGATAGGCGGATAAGTCCTAACAGAAGGTAGAAGTTTGTGAAAGCTCGAACACTCCTCTAGTTGGACTTTTTAAACCTGTGAGCAGGTAAGATAAGTCTGCCTAGACGGCGGAACTTGACACGCATACACATTCACAAGGTAAAACAATTCGTTTCTTGATTCCCTCCTGTCAGGGATATCATTAAGCCCGTTCAGTTGGAAGTAGCCAAGCTCAGCGAAAGTGTCACGAGGTACCTTGGATGGAGGAGACAGGTGCCAGTTAGGCAGAAGTTCACGGAAGCCTGAGGACGACGTGCCCCGGCCGGCTATATCCCGACATCGAGGCATAATGGCAGCCTACCCCGATGGTACCGCACGGTGTGATACGTCGTTACGGAGGAAGGCATGCGGTTTCATTCTCATAGGCAGACCCCCAATGTAGGGTAAAACGGCCTCGTCCGGGAAAGCCAAGCCGGTACCTAGGAAAGGGGGGGGGGCTGGGGGGGCTAGCCGAAGGACTCGGAGAGATCGCAATGGGAGAAACAAGCTTTTTTTTCTTAGGGTGTGTTAGATGAGGATTCTTAACAGAGCCGCGTGTATGACGACGACTGCTTCACGTGGATGACTACCGACATGGGTGTGTTCATCTTTTGGAAAGGAATCTGCTAGGGGGCCACCACCCGGCATAGGAAGTTCATATCGGGGCTAAGGGACACACGTTTTGTTCATTCGTCCCGAGCGAGAAAATCTTTCGTTGGAAGGGGGGGGTTTTTTGCTTGGGTTTACCGGGGTGAGAGGGACGGAGTGATTACTTTGGTCTTCCGCGCGTTGGACGACCGCGAAATGCAGGACTTTTCTTCCAAGCCCTCTATCTTACCTATATTTTGGTGGAGTATCCGCCTGTATCAGTGCCGCACGGTAGGCTGTGACATGATGTGACAACCGGCGAACTCGTTTGGGTGTGGTGACAGGCGAGGAGTCACCGGAGCCCCAAAGTCCCTTTCGCAGTAATGCAGAGTTCCGCATTAGGGCTGATCTGGCCCCCTGAGGGGGGGGGGGTATCAGTCCCGTGGTTACCGGCCGGCAGTGGAGGTATTCGTAAAGGTAAACGTCACGATGTTCCCCCGTATTACTGCTGATCCCCGACTACTCGATCAGGCGTTCCTGGCTCGCCGAAAAAAGAGTCGAAGTAACTATCGTGGGTACCTTATCCATCACCAAAAAACGGGGTCTCACAAATACTACCGCGCAGTGGAGAAATCATCCCTAAACAGGGCAGATTAAACGCCAGATTAATATTGTTTTGTGTTATTTTTTTGTAACAATGGCGGGCGCGTACGGGGAGTGACTCACGACGCGGGAAAATCTCACCGGCGGCGAGATCTCAGGTTTCTTTGCTGTAATGAGGTAGAGTCTGACACTCTTACTCTACCGCGTATGCTTGGGGAGGTACTGTAGATATCCACAGCCGATCGGTGGTCTATCTTGCCGTCTTACAACGTTACGAGTCCTATTTGTCCTATGGCGGCAGATTCCTACGCTAGAGTTGCTGTGGTGTCCTGTGTCTGATGTTGTTGGTGCCTGTTGGTGCCTGTTGGTTTGCGTAGCCCCTGGAGGCAAGGCAGGGGAGCGGGGGGGTAATCTGACGCTTATTTTTTGGCCGGTAGCGGTGCCGGGAACCGAACGGCCGCGTTGGCCGTTGATCTGCTGTATCCGGAAGGCAGCGTACGTGGTCCGTGGAACCCGCTACCACGGGACCGGGGGGAAGATCTCAATGACTGAGTGTATCCGTATGCGTATTTCCAAGTAAGTGAATTAGGTATGACATTGACCTCGTAAAGGTGATTGCGTTGCGTCGTCACTGTAAGTCTATGAGTCTATTTGGTATCCACAGCAATTGCAGTGTAAGCCTAGTGCGAAAACGAAATAGAGACGCAGAATTTCCACGACAAAGTGTGCGCCCAGGAAAGCCTCAAATCAATGGGTCAAGATGGTGCGTCGCCGATGGCTTGGGGCTGAGTTGAACGGAGGGTTCGCCAAGATGCCAAAGTGGCATTGGTTTCGCAATAATTAGAAAAAAGAAAGAAACTTTTTCCTTCGTAGCTTGTCAGTTTTGGCGATGATGGGATGAATTGAGATTTTCTCCTTTTGCTCGCACGCATTGAATTGGATTTTCGATTGCCGCCTTGCCGCCCTGCCGCCCGTAAGGGACTTTACAGCGAGGCACGCCTTGTGATCCATGCGAGAGTGAGAGAAGGATGGGCGAAGTAGCAAAGTCCCGGATGTAGGCGGACGCATTCTCAGGGTTGAGCCTTGCGCCAAGTGACTCATGGCCGAAGTTTATCGGAACAAGGAGAATTAGAGTGACACTGCCAAAGTGCTAGGCAACTGGCAAGCCATTACTTACAGCGTCGTGCTCACGCAGGGAGAAAGTAAGCTTCGAGGCTACCACTAGTGAAGGACTGGTAATTGTGTAGAGGTTTGAGGGGCAGTTTGACGCATTGACAAACTGACGCGAACCGGCGTAATGTCTTGCCTGTACAGGAATCCATTTGGGTTGTCTTACTTACCTCTTGGGGTTAAGTTCTGTCAAGAAACTCCCAGTGAATACTACGGTACAATAATGTGAATATGACGGCGTGAAGGAGGGGGCGAAAGAGGTTAAGCTCAATAAGCTTCCCGTCACACGCCTACGCAAGCCCAATTGTTGGTTATGGGCGGACTGGGACCGCCGCACCAGCATCCTCCATGGACCATGGACGTGTGGAAGCTACGCAATGGTGTGGATACACGACCTTGATCTGTTCCGGGGGCCTGGTTGGATGCCTTGGGATAGGACTAGGGAGGGGGGGGGGGGTAATTCTCCCAGTGACGGAATCTTTGGAGGATGCGTGTACTGCGTGTGCAAGTTGCGCGTGTGTGTGCGTGTGTGTGCATGTGTGCGATGGGATGGGATGGCTTGGGTTGGGACGAGAGAGAGAGACCTTCAGGTCGGATCGGGGAAAGGGGGGAAGATGCTTGTTCTGGTTTCTGCGCCCGTTTTTGGGGGCCACCCAAACCACGCCGCCGGCTTTTTGCTTGGAATAGATGAGTCCTACGGAAAAGGATACTTTGATACTTTGATACCTACCTTGGGTGCTTGGGTTTTAGTGTACACTACTGTGGTACAGGATGGATGCAGGATACAGTAACATTGCGTTCCATGGCATTTGAGGCGGTGCATCGCTTCGTTTTGGAAAACATATAAAGGTAGAGCCTGCCACGCCCAGCCAACCAGTTCTTGATCTTGGCCTGCGTCAGCAATCAATCAGCCTTTTCTACCAATCGTCCATCAATCAAACGCTATCAACACTACCAAAACTACAAGAAGCTACCCATCACCACATTTACAACCACAGCCCCTCACTCAACTCTCGATACTCGATAAAATCACCACCGCAAAAACCACGAATCACCACACATCCACCATCCAAACCTCCCAAACCGCAACAATGGCCAAAGCAACATACGCACCCTCCACCTTCTCCGAGACCTCAACCATCTGCTCTTTTGAAAAGGAATCCTTCGAAAAGGACCCCACCGTGACAGCAGCAGCAGCAGCACCCGCCGTCAAGGAACGTCGCTCCCTCCGATCAAGAGTGAAGAGGGCCCTCCGCGAGGTCGGAAACCCGCCCACCTACCGTTACGACCGCGAGCACGGCATCGAGACCAAGAGAACGGTGCCCGTCGGCCCCATGGGGTACAACGTCCTCAACCAGCCCTCGCGCATGTAAAACACGCCTGTTGCTCTCAACCTTGTGTGCTTGCGATAAGCGATAAGCGAACGTGCGAGATGATGTCAAACAACCTCAAGAACAGCCGAATTTGCTGTTACGGATAAGCGAGTTTTATTATGGGTGCCATGAACGGATATACCAAATGGCGCAACGGAGTTGGGAATCTTTATGGGGATTCCCCCGGTGTGGGGGGGGACCCTGATGGGCTTTTTCCTTGGGTTCTGAACGATTTTATCAACATTTTCTTTACAATTCCTATCACGGCACGCAATAAGGGGCAAGAAACACAAACAAAGGTCACGTCTCTCTGTGTTTTCTCCGTTCCCTTTTTGCAAGTTGTCGCTGGGCGATTCGGTGTCGACAGAGACGGACCTTGGGGGAAGATGGGAGGTGCCGTGAGGAGAGATGGCTTTTACGAGCCCAGCTGAGAGGAGAGGGGGAAGCTTGAGGAGGTTGCCTTTGTTCCCGCTCAAAAGGGGGGGAGGAAGGGAGGCGCCAATGGCTCTCGCGCCTGGCTGGGGGTTAGGAGAGCCACGGCGGGAATATGGGGAGCAAGCCATCGTCTTACGGGCTGCCACACCTCAAGGATTAGGTCGACACCTACGCTCAGCTTTTCTTTCAACATTTGAAAATTCAAGGGTGTTTTGGGGTGGACTTGAAGAGATATAACCAATTCCCAGACGGGACATGGATCTTGATAGAACAATACCACGAATTCCCCCTATACGAAGTTTGCTATCCTTTCACATGAAAAAAATGAACGTCTCTAGCAGTGACCATCCTCGTCGACCGCCTATCTAAACCAAGTCCGGATACCCCAGTAGTTAGAGGCGCGACTCGACTCGGCGTCTCAACATCAGATTGACTACGCGCGCGAGCGCGCACTCAAAGTGTCAGCTGCCCAGTCAGGCGAAACCACACGATGTAAGGTACCTTGGTACGAGGACCGAAGAGGAACGGAAGAAGGAGGTTATTCCCCATTTTTGCCGACCGAGCAGACCGAGCGAGTGTCGGTGTTTTAGTGGGACTGGTCGGGGCCAATCGACCAGGCGCGGCCGGCGGCGAAACTCACCACCCCTTCGCCAAACCCCCGTAAAAGCAGTGGAAACTTAATCTTTCCTGGATGCAAAGAAGGAGCGGAACTAATGTTCTTCGACACTATGATACAGATGTTTTCAAATAGCCTGAGGTGGCTCAGAAATCAAAGAATTTGGATCCTTCCGGCTCCGGGCCCGTTTTAACGGCAGACCTATTGCCCCCAGCCAGCCAGGAAAAAGAGGCCGGATTCGTTACTGCGCGGGTCAATACAATCGCTCAAGCATGATCTAGCTGTGTCTGAAGCGTAGATTCCCATTGTTTTGCAATGCATCTCCCTATATCCAAGGTTTCCGTAAAAAAAGGCATTTGAGCACGACACAATACCTCTCCTTGTTCGAAATCATGAACATCACAACCAAGAATTGCCACCACCAGCAAAAACCAGGTTTCTGAAACAGTTCTCTTCTCCTTCCAGAAGCAATTCTTACTTGGAGCAGAACAGCAGGGGCTGCATCGGATGAAGAGGACAGGAGGGGAATACTAATGGATTGGATGGAAGCGGGGGCCACAGCCCATCCCTCACTCAAGTCATCTGGCTTAGAAATCACGACATCAACTACAACCCGGGGCCGAAACTCCCTTGCGCCAAGCTTATTCAGCATCCCATGTCCGTGGTGATTTTTGATTGAAATGCAATGCTGAGCTTTTGTTGGTTTTGACATTTCAAATTTCGTTGGGAGTTGCTGGTGGGGATCTGTAAAAACGAAGTACAAAATGGCATGATTATCTCGTCTTTAACGGTGTTGGTGCCGCTTGTGGTGAAGACAAACCTTCTTCAAGCCATCATCTGAATCGCTTACACTCGAAGTAAATCGAATCTCTTGTAATACAGACACAAACCTCTCGTGATTCAAAACGCAAGAGAGAAACAATCACAAAATGGTAACCATCCCAAAACCCCACAAGGCCGTCGCCACACCCGCCAAACGCGCGCCCCTCATCCTCCTCGACCGCGAGACAACTCCCCCGGGACCAGGCGAAATCCTCATCCTAAACGAATGGACCGCCTCCAGCCCCCTCGATCTCCACCGCGCCGACGGCGGTCTCCTCTGCAACCACCCGGAAGTCATGGGCGGCGGCGCAGCAGGGACAGTGGTAGCCGTAGGCCCCAACCAGGACCCAGAGGACGCCGAGAGACTCAAGCCGGGGGACAAGATCTTTACCTTTGCTTTCCACCACTTTAGCGAGCGCGCGCACCAGGATTTCGCGACGGTGCCGGCGTATTTGGTCTCCAAGCTGCCCGCGAATGTCACGCCGCAGGAGGCGGCGACGGTGCCGACGAATCTGATTACCGTGTTCCACGCCGTGACGGCGGATCTGGGGTTAGAGCTGCCGTGGCCTAGACCTCAGGGGGAATGGGTCCCCCGCGCGAGAGACGACGACGCCGTGCTCGTCTGGGGCGCGGCGAGTAGTGTCGGCGTGTACGCGGTGCAGGTGCTGCGGCATTGGGGGTACCGCAATATCCTGGCCGTGGCGAGCGAGAAGCACCACGCGCAGCTGAAGGAGATGGGCGCGCGGAGCACGTTTAGTTACCGGGATGCTGGGGTCGTGGAGAAGATTCTAGGGGCTGTTGGTGAGGGGGGTGTGCCGTTTGTGTTGGATTGTATTGGGTCCGTCGAGGGCACTCTGAGGCCGTTGACGAAGATTGCGGGCCGGGGGACAAAGGTTGCAGTCATGTTGCCTGTTATTGTGCGGGATGCGACGGAGGAGGTTGAGCCAGAGTATGAGATGGAGGTGAAGAACGTATTGGTTGGGGAGTGGGATGATGGTGTTGAGCTCCGGGGGGTGAGGACGCATTTCTATCTGGCGGTGAGTTTTTTTTTTTTTTTTTTCTGTCGTTTTGCTGACGATCGAGAGAGCGAGCGAGAATGCCTCCCTCAACATGAGATGAGAGAAGAAGCTGACGTCTCGGTGAACAGAATGAGTTCTTCAAGGAAAAGATGCAGAGAGAGATTGTGCCGACGCTCTTGGAGCAGGGTATCATCAAGCCCAACAAGCAAAAGATTGTCGAGGGCGCTACCATGCTGGAGAGGGCGCAAAAGGCTATTGAGTTGCTGAGGAAGAGGGATCCCAGCGGTGAGCGTCTGGTCTGGAGGGTTTCGGATCTGGATCTGAAGCTGTGAGGCGGTCGCGTTAGTTGATATCCAAAGAGTGGAAGTGTCACCTAATTGATCCACGCCAGAAAAGAAGAAGGATGCCCATAGTAGAAAGAATAGAGGTCTTTAAATGCTTTTTGTGACTTTGTTCCTGCTTTTGTAATCTGCCGACCATCTGCTGAAAGAAGCTCAAAACTCCAACCGTGGGATGCCTCCTGACCAAAAACAAAACGCCAATGAGTGGTCGATCCTCCGCTGCGTCGTCTCTTTTGCCACTCGGATATGTATATCAAGTTTCCTCCGCAGTACACACACACACACTCTCTCTCTCTCTTTCCCATCGTCGTCGCCATTTTCTTTTGTCACAACAACCTCCTTACTCCTTGCGACCCTTCTTGGGCTTCTCCACCGCATCACCCTTCTCTCCCTCGTCCTCGCTCGCCACGTCCCTGCTGCGTTTCAGACCCTTCATCTTGCGCGTCTGCAGCTCGCCCAAGTCCTGGCGGCCGACGTGCACGCGACCCATCTTGTCACCCATGGCGTCCGTGGTGATGTTCTTCTTGGTGCGCTCCTCGGTGCCGCGGGGCTTCTTCATGGCCTCCTTGAGCATGCCCTCCTCGGGCTCGCGCATACGGCCGACGCGGAAGTCCATCCGGGGCCCAATCTCGTTGACCTCGACGCGGGGCACCTTGGAGCCGCTGCGCTTGGTGGTGATGGTGTAGGCGCGGAGGCGGATGGCGGGCTTGGCGGCGTCGTCCGTGGGCTCGTCGGCCGTGATGGAGACGATCCACTGCAGGCCCTCGACGTCGATCTTGTCCGTGGGCTCGCCGCGGAAGAAGTCGGCGAAGAAGGACTTTGCGTGGGTGTACTCGTTGGCGATGGGGCTGTCCCAGGCGGTGCCGGCAAAGGTGAGCATGGGCTTGAGGCCGATGGGGACCTTTTTACCCTTGAACTGGGCGAGGGTGCGGAAGGTCTCTGGGTCGAGGTAGAGCTCGAGCATGTCAAAAACCTTGTAGCTGAAGGTGCGGACGAGAGTGAGGGCGTGGGGCCGCTTCTTGGAGGTGTGGCCAAACACGAGGATGGAGGCGTCGTTCTTTTCCGAGAAGAACTCGAGCGAGTCGGCGTTGTCAAAGGGGTGGATGTCGTTCTTCTTTACGAAGCGCTTGGCCAGCGGCTGGCGCATCTGGTAAAGCTCGTTGATGGCATCTTGTGTCACTTGCGAGCATGAGCTTCCGCGGAGGAACAATGCCGTCTTGGGGTTTTCTCTGTTTGAGAGAAGGGTTGCTGAATTAGCTTGCGATCATGGTGAAACTCATTTGTCGAGATCGGGGGAACGTACTGGGCCTTGGGCTCGCGCTTCTCGAGCGCACGCTTGGAGCGGGCATTACGGGGTTTTCTGTTGGGCAATTATTAGCTCCTTATCGGCATGGCTGCATTGTGCGGTTGCCGCGACTCACATTTGACGAAGCATTGTGCCGGTGGTCGAATTTGTCGTCCGTCGGGTCTTTGATGCAAGTGGCTGGGATGCGAACTGATCTCAATTCTGCGGTAACGTTGAAGCCGCCGTCAAAAAAATTGCTTATCGTTATCGCCAGGATGTCAGATCTTATCTTATCACCCCGCCGCGTCGAAGTTGCCTGGGCTTGAGACTGCCAGCTGGTCCCACCTGCAGTGCCCGGCGTCTCATTACCCCAACGCCATTAAAATACACTGCCGGTTTATAATATCCTCCACCGCGCGCCTACGCCCACCATCGCCCATAATACGTCCAGCTCAGTATCAAACAAGTACCACCACCATCATGGGCCACAAATAGCACAATACGCCCAAAAAGGCACGATTTCGTGGAGCCTATACGTTTCTAACTGCTCAGGGCTATAAGTTCAAGAGGAAGGATCTCTACGAGTTCTTCGACATCAGCGAGCGAACAGGTCGCGAGCTTCTGAAGGACCCGTATGGGTGCGACCGTACGCGCCACAATAATCCGGATCTCCCAGAGATGCGCGGGCGCAAGCGGAAGGTCGTCGACGAAGACGCTGTCGACGAGAATGGCAAGCCCCTGAGCAAGAGGAAGAGGAAATCCGTAAAGAAGAAGAAGAATTCACAAAAGAAAACAGGGCAGTGAAGGCTCCTGATTCCACGCAGGCCTCGGAGAAACAGATGAGCTCCAATATACCGGCAAGCGAATTATCACAGGTAGCACCAAATGCAGTTGACCAACTGCCTCGCCCGTCTCAACCCGGCCCATCTCAAGCTCAATCCATTCCCTCGGGCGGCTATGTGAACTCTTTAACCTCCAGTGTATTTTCAAATGTGGACGGAGGACATCCGTACCCTTTCTATGGTGAACAACCTGGTCAAGGTCGTTACTGGACTTCATGTACACCTTCTGAAGATGATTTGACATCATGCATAGAGTGAGCTCGACAACAAGAGCAACATTCACACGATTTCATTCATGTCATTATCATATTACTCCAATGATGGACCATTTATACACAACCCCAAACAACAACACACAACAGCTTGGCAGATTCAACCAAAAACCCTTATACCTAGTTGACCAACTCATACAACTGACTAACAGCGCCGACACCTTCCCTTGAGTACAGCGCCAGGAAATGTGTCGGGTCCCTGTTGAAAAGTCCAGGCCAATGGGCCTGCGCAGGCCCCGTCACGACACTGCCGCTCCATGTCTTACCATGGTCGACGCTGGTGATGACCTTCATCTCCCCAAAGTTGTAGCCGTCGGCGCCCTCGACGTCCTCGTTGGTCATGAAGCTGGCGACGAGCGTGCCCCACACGTTGTACACCTGCGGCGCGCCCGACATGCGGCCGTTGCGCGCCGTGTAGAGGCTACCACGCTCGCCCCAGGTGTAGCCGTCGTCGTGGGAGAGGACGTAATCGACGTTGAACCTGCCTTCTCTGGTGTGTTCGAACACGGCGCTGTGAAGGACTCGCTGTTAGTTTCTGTTTCCAGGGGGATAGGGAAGAGTCTTTTCAACGGCTGATTCGACTTACATCAAGTCTCCTTCGTTGCCAATGGGCGCAACACCGACCATACCGTCACGGGACAACCGATCGCCGCCAGAGACAGGAACCCAGGCCGACCAGGTCTGACCGCCGTCCTTGGAATACTTCATAAAGTTATCCTGGTCATCAGCCGAATTCTCAGCCGAGTAGTAGCACTGCAGCGTGCCATCCCTCGCCAGACGCAGGTACGGCTCCCACAGCCCGTTGACGCCGTTGGGCACGTGCTCCTCGACGGTGGACAGGTACTTGAACGTCGCGCCGCCGTCGTCCGAGTACGACACGGAGATGCGGAAGTAGGTGTAGTGCCAGTCGGCGCCCGTGCGGTCGTGATTCCGGTAGGCGTACAGGATACGGCCGCCCGGCAGCTGGATCGGCATGGCGTTGTCGATGTCGTGCGTCGCCCGCTCGCCGCGGAAGACCTCGCCGATGCGCTGCCAGGACTGCGCGCCGTCGGTGGAGCGGACGACGCGGAGGATGCTGGTCGCGCCTTCTTTCGCCGCGTAGCCGCCGATGAGGCTGCCGTCGTTCATGAAGCTTACGCGGATGTAGTTGCCGGTCGGGTCGATGACGACGGGGTCGCCGGCGCGGACGACGCGGCCTGGCAGGCGCTTGTCGAGGGATACCGGCGTGCTGGCGGCTAGGCCTACGAGGGCTAGGCCTGCGGTGAGGGTCTTTGCGAGGTTAAACATTATGGATTTAGTCTTGGGGGGCTCTCTTGTCGACCTATGGATAGCGATACGTCAAAACGAGTTGAAGCGTCTCGTGATGGACTCTTTATGTATTTCTATTTCCATCGCGCCTTGTAAGCGCGGCATGTCGGGAACAGTACCAAGCGTTTTGTGGCATCATGTCAACTCCACGAGCTGACTTGACCAAGGATGATTTTTTCCCTCTCTCCCCAGTCGTCTCAATTTGGCTGCCTACTCAGGAAGCAGAAGCTTGCTGGATGTCTCTACGGATACCGTTGAAGGATCAATTGCATCTACGTTGTGGAGATCGCTCCGCGGGCTGAGTTCCTGTCCTTGAATCCTTCGCGCTTTGCCCACGCGAAATCCCGGCTTCCCCTGCAGGAAGCGGTGTATTCGTAGAGCTCGACCAATAGACCATCTTGTTCATCCTGTCAGAAATATTGATTCCCTCTTGCGGCTCTCAGGACTCCACAGCACAGGTGAGAGGCCAGGGACCCCGGAAAATGCGAGCTGACATTGGATATGCTGGCTGGTTGGTTGCGCTCGCATCCTTGCCTGGGTACCACAATTCAATTGCTGGTGCCTAACGTTCACCAGTTCGAATATACCACCTTCGGCATGGCTTCTAGTCACCTAGCGGCGGTTGGTCCCGCGCTCGTCTTATGATTGCATCTACATTAGATGAAGCACATGAAATGACAGCCGTATCCCCAGTGTATGCCATACCAGCTACTTTCTAAGGTATCAAGAGTCGATGCCCAAGTATCAGTATTCAAGAAACGGGTACCTTCCTGTGACTGCTACCTATTCAAGTAACGCGACACCTTTACGCCGCCAGTCAAGACATGGTAGGTAATTGACTTTTCGTCACATTTCAAGATGAACTATGGTTTATCGTACTGCCAGTGCTAGTGACATTCATAGCGATCGGCGCTTGAATGTTGAGAAATGTAACGTTTTGTGAGTGAAAGACTGGCGACGAACTCTGAATGTAGCTTGTAAGAATGACGGACTTGCCCTCCGTATGGAAAATCACTTTGGCAGGAAACCCAGTCGATCCAGATCACTGTGTCGACAACCAGCATTGCATTCCTTCCAAGTTGTGGTCTCAGTATTTCAGTGCAACGTTCGCTTCCAAAGGGAATTCCGAGGAAGCCTTGGGGAACGACAACAATTCATAATCCTGGCTGGAAGGAATGAGAGATCTTGAGACAAGACAAATATTGCCGCTCCCTGGTGAAGGAAGTCTAGAGCAAGTACCGACACTAGCTACTGGCCTCCCAATAACAACTAGTTTTGCTGTCCGTCGATGACACCGTTCGTCATGGTTCCCTGAGCTGGTCGGGGGCGGAATGGCCACTCGCGTTCGAACTCAACCTTGTCAATCTTCTTCACCACTATATCACCATCAGCAAACGCCCATACCCAAAGAGACTGCCATATCTCGATATACTCACATTGTCCAAACACGTCGCGCATACGTCGCTGGTACCACCAGCCCACGAAGCTCACAACCGCCATGAACGCTATCGCGGCAATGGCCACTGGCTTCCAGTATTCTGATACCTGTCAGAAACCATGGTCTCCCGAAAATACGGACAGGAAGTACATTTGATATTGATACTGCGTAAGTGACTTACTTGTTGCGGAATTAATCATTTCCCGGCTATTCACCGATAACACAACCGGGGGACGTCTCTCCTTTGGCTCCAACCAGTAATGCGCGTTGATGAAGCACATGTTGGTGCGGTACACGCCCATGATTTGCATCAAAGTACCGCCGAGGCTGACAAAAACGGCGCCCAACCCAAAGATGATTTGCAACGAGTAGTACAGCAAGAACCAAAAAGTGTGCAGGGTCCACGACCCCGGTTTGCTGGCGTGAGCCAGGAAATCCGCCAGCTTGGTGCTGGGCGAGTGCGTATCTTCGTGCCACGGAGCCGTGGAAGGGTCGTAGAATTTTCGATCGTCGAGCCACCCTCCTTTTCTAAACATGTCTAATGCTCTGATGCGACGTTTGGGGTTGGTGACGTCGCCGGGGGCGCCAATGTAAGCCCATAGCCACAGACCAATCTGCGCGAGCTGGAGACCAAAGTAGACCAGAAACGTCAGGGAGCGGCAGGACAGCCCGATCTGGGGGGTGAAGAATGCCAGCATGAATGCGAACAGGTAGGGGATACCGACGAGGAGTAAGGTGAGGAAGAGCAAGACGAACCAGTCGAGGAGCGACAAGGTGGTTCTGAAGCGCAGATCCTTCATATCGCCATCGATGTCCTCGTGGCCTATATGCTTGACATCGGTTCTTCTGCTATATACTGTAAGAAGCTGCTCGATCCACTGCTTCTTGGTGTGGCCGCGAAGCCATTGCCAGGCCACCTTGTAGCAACTAGGATAGACCAGATCGAAGCGTAAGAAACCAAAGACGTAGGTTGGATCCTCGGGATCTTTCGGATCGCGTTCTGTTGCTAGAACCCCCTCCAGGATATTGGGGTTGTTGCCAGCAAGCAGTAAACCGGAAATAATGGCAATGTGGGGAATGATCTGACCTGGGTTAGTCGGGGAATAACAACTAGGAGGTGGTAGGCAGGACGGACCATGTACCATGATCCAAACGCGATGGATTCCCTACAGGATTTTGTTAGCTTGTTCGTAGCTTTGGATCACATGGAGACTAGACTTACGCGATGTTTTCATCTCCCAATTCGTCAAGGCTAGTCAGGAACGAAAAGATGAATCCCCCGAGGAAGAATCTGATCAAGTCAGCAACCGGCAGACTGCCTCGCTTTTTCTTAAGGACGGTACTTACATGACTGGTGCTCCAACAATCGACCCGAATGAATACTGGCAGTGCAACATCGTACGGAGTCGGGTTTTGGTTCTAATTATACAACGTTCAGTCTCCCGGGATCGAGCCCATGGCTCTTGGATGTGTTCACGCCGGTCACATAGGCGATCTGGACAATTGTGCCTGGCCCACTGGCGCGGAGACTGGCCCCTAGAGACATTGTCATCATCGTAAAGCCGTAGATCATAGAGTAAAGTCTCCATATGACGCCAAGGAGATGCCGTCAGGTGACCAGTGGAATGACGTGGAAATGCTTGCGTCGAGGCAGCGTTATTCGCATTTGGCTGCGGAGCGGATGAACGCCGTCTGATGCCCTGGTTCGGAGGTTGTGTAACCATTGATGTGGAATTTGCGACAGTCTGGGGCGAGGTACTACCATGGGAATCCTGGCTGACACCATCGCCAATTGCTTGTTCTCGATGAGCTAGGGACCCAAGTGGTATATCTCTGTTGCCGACGGTACGAGCTTCTTGAGGCATTGGTCCTGGCATTAATCCTCCTTGTGCAATATGATTCTGTTGTGATATATGCCCATTTTTCAGAGGTGTTGCTGGTACGGCGGAAACAGATGCTTGTCTTCCCCATTTCAGAGTCTCGCGGTCTAGAGCGAGATCAAGATTCCCAATCAATACCAGCATGAGGCAACGACACCGCATGTCGAGCGTCAGTCGTTTGTTTTGGATTTTGTCTCTGAGAAACTCCAGGACCCGGTTATCTAGCAACGCTTCATAGAGGCCGCTGAGAATCATGGGGCCGGCGAAGGCGAAGCAGATGGAAAGCCATATAATTGTATCGACTGTGACAATTATGCCTGCTAAGATGGCACCGATAATTGCTGGAATGATGCTTTTGATACCGGCGATATCTGCTACAAACAAGGTGCTACAGCAATGTCAGAGTAAATCACGAATCCTGGCTTGATAGTTGACGATGTATCGCTGGGTCGTCGTACCGATAAACATGAAGTTTCCTTCGTCTAGGCACCGACAGACAAAATACCACAGCTGGTAGCAAGAAACCCGACAGAGAGTGGAGCCAAGCATTCAGGTTAGACTTGTCACTGAGAGACCAGCCTGAGCAGTTGTCGATGAACCATGCATATTGAACTTGCACCTCAGGCGCGCCCCCGAGATGTGCCTATACTTCGGGTGAGCCTCCACACTCTTCTGGAGAGAAAAAAACAAAAGACATTTCCAGAACCTACATCGTTATACTTGGCGTCGCAGGGAAACTGACTTCGAAGAGCGGCGTCTCGAAGGTCACCGGTTGTGGATGCGCCTATTTTGGTAATCGAGTTGTTGGCGATGACCAATGTTCCATTCTCCAAAATGTCTAGACCGACTTCGACGGCTTTGAGGCAACACCATGTGTAGTTTTGACTCCCCAAATAGACATTGCCTGATTTGTTGGGGAAACGCGCGTCTAAGTCGGCGAGCTGCCAGAAGACATCCCACCTATTCGTGACATTGTGGATGTTATCTGCCGATCGAGCTGATGTCGCGAGAAGTAGCAGAAACCCGAGAACTCGGTTCATTGCTCAGTCCGGGTGGTATCGGTTCACGAAATATCCGCAGTGGAACTAAAGAACGGCCAACGTCGAGACCAAGAAGACGGGAGATCAAGCATGATAATAAGCATGACTTGCGAGCCTGAACAGGGGCGAGAAATGGAACCATCAGCAACCGAGCCAGGCTGGGCGCGAAGAGTCAATATTTCAGCCTCACTTGAGCCATTCAATCAATAAAGATGGTGTCGTGTGACGCAGTGCTGACCACCCTATTGGGTGTTCAGCCTGCCATGAAGCAGGCTGCGACGCAGCTTGATCGGCTTGCGCGGAGACTGCAGATAGAACAAAACGAATACCCAATGACGGAGAATGAATTGACCAGAGAGGAAGGAGATCCGATAGCAAGACAGACCAATTCTAAAGAGGAGAAGGTTGCGGTCAAGAAAGGCGGGTTGCTATTTCTGCTATTTTAGCAAAGGAGGCAACAAGGAAAGTAAGCGTCGACAGCTGCCTCAGATGCGAAGCAGGGCGGCTATCAGCTCCTCTTTCCCGGTCGGTAACAAGATAGGCGACAAATCAAATGCGAGTTCAGATAAGGAGGAACGGTCCAACGCAACCCTCCGATGTGGCTTCAGCCGGCTGGAAGGTCAGGCCGGAGTTCTGGCTCCACGGAGACTCCTCGGAGACTTAGTGAGCTTCGGCGATGCACTGACCCAACGGACACGGAAGAGACTCTCGGTCGGCCCGCTATAAGTCGGGGCGACTATCGTCCTTCACCTCACAATTCAAGGTCGTAGCAACAACCAAAGTCCCATATCGAACAAGGGATATGGTTTACGATTGGTATTTCAGAGCTTCGACAGGACTTTTTAAAGCAAACGAATCGGACTCGGCATCCCGAACTACCTTATTTCTGACAAGCCCTAGCGAGCTTACTTCTTCACAGTGGATCACGAAGCGGTAGTGCCCGAAGGATCTGACCTTATGCGTTGAATTCGCTTAATGAGGGATCCCTACCTGCCATGTTTTATTCCCAACATTTCCCGTAACTATAAAGCTGGAATAAACCATCGCCAAGATATCGCCTGTCATTTTGCATCTCGACAAACATTGTTCGGTGCTTGCATCCCAACGATTCATCATGGGATTCATTCTCCAAACGAGCATCATCTTCACCGTGATCCTCGGCGTGGCCTTGCAGCTTGTGCTCAAGGATCCCATCTGGCTGGGCCTGGGAATCGGCAAGGAATTCCAGCCTCTGTCCGATTTTCCCTACTCGTGCCGTCGCATCGAGGACCCTAGACTGCAGGCATGTGAGGATATGTGGCTGTCCGAGGCCACGCGCCAGCTCTTCCTCGCCTGCTCTGATCCCCTCTCTCGCCAGCAATGGCTACCAAAGTACGTGTTTTTCGAGCTTGCGCGGCCCCCCCCCCCCCCCCGCTTCCGTCTGTGCAACCGCCCCGTAGTATCGGCCCATTCCCCGTTCCCGGGCCGGAGTGTGTGATCCGGAAAGGCAAACTGACCTCCCCCCCCCTCCGGCTTCTAGCGCACAACACATGAACGCCTCGGGCCGCTCCACGCGGGACGCCGTCATCGCACTGGACATTGACAGTCCCAAGGGCGATGCATTTGAGTACCGTGTTCTCGAGACGCCGGGGTTTACAGGCACCGCCGGCGACGGACTGCTCCAGCTCGTCGGGATAACAGGCATTGACGCACCAAAGGGCGATAAGGTTGAGATCCTCTTGGTTAACAATGGCCCTTCCGTTGATCCCGTCACTGGCAATCTACTGGACCAGAAGAGCGTGGGCGCCAACTCGACGATTGAGGTTTTCGAAACGGGCCCGAAGGCGATGGGGATGAAGCACGTCCGCACTTTCGCCAGCACCAACATTTCGACGCCGAATAACATCGCTGCATTGTCAAGCGAGGAGTTTTACTTTACAAATGCTAATGGACCTCACAAAGTCGGGCTGGTAAGAAACAAAACATACAATGATCGAAGTAGGAATAAGTTCAGCTGATCCACCGTAACTTGTAGCAATTTTTCATCGGCCCCTTGATGGGCGACGGCGACGTATCATTCTGCTCCGCCTCGAAGGGATGCAAGCGCGTCTCCGAACGTCACCGCATGCCCAACGGCCTCGTCCGCGGTCTCGACGGCCTCATCTACGTCCCGAGCTCCATGGCGGGCGGCGTGCAGGTGTTTGAAGCGCTTTCAGGCAACGACGGTAACGGACTCAAAAAGGTGGCCGACATCCCCGTTCCCTACGCCATCGACAACCTGTCGGTGGACGGCAAGGGCGACGTCTACGCGGCCATCTTCCCGCGGGGCATCGAGATCCTGCAGGCGGCCAAGGATCCGCTGAACGCAAGGCCCAAGAGCGCTGCGGTGCGCATCCGCAAGGAGGGGGAGGGCGTCTACGTGTGGGAGAAGATTATTGAGGACGGGCTTGGGGAGGTGCTGCCTGGGTCTACTACGGTTGTGCACGATGCGAAAACGGGGAGATTGTTCTTTGGTGGTGAGTGCTGTTCTGACCTCTGTGTTTGGATATATGGAATGTGTGCCTGAATGGAGTGCTAACTTTTTTAGGTGTTACATCGCCGTTTATTGCAGTCTGCGAGCCCAAGGACTGAGGGTGGATTGAGATTCGATGCCATCTCTGGTATGAATGTTGATTGTGGAGTTCATGTCTTAGTACGCAAATCAGTATCCTGTCATCGTGAGATACCGCAATTTCACCTTCTTCAAAATCTCATGTCTCTCAACTCTTTGGGTTAGTTGCTGAAGTTATGACCGTTGCGCTGTGAGTTGGGACTGAGATGGGATGAGATGATGCGAGTACTTTGGGTACTTCAAATTCCTAAGCACATGTGAAGAAACGGGGGTTCAAGGAATGCTCATGCCGCTACAGGGTACTGGCGCCAAGTGAGATTCACATGGAATTCATTTACACGTGGGAGGCCCAAGACATTAACTGACTCTTACAATTGTCCCTACTTATCATCAATTCTACACCAATTTCACTCGAATATGATCTATTACTAGAGCAAGTATGTTCTCTGAATGAATAAACGTGCAGTATAAGATTCACTTAACTGTTTTTAATGTTTGTAATTACCAGGAGTTGAATGGCAAAGTTGTCCTGTCACAATTGGCATCCGTCATCACATGCCAAAACTCCCCAAACACCACGACGTTTTCCCCAGACGGCGAATCCCTGGAAGGCTTAGCGGCGCGCCGGCCCTGCGTCATAGGGGCATGTGGGGGAACCGGGGGCTGGGAACAGGCCGTCTCCAGCGTGACTCGCCCAGAGCCGAACCCAGCCAGATTTCCACCTCTAACCGTGGACCAGACAGGTCCTGGGGCCGAGGTACGGGTACCGTCCACCACTCCTTACCGCAAAGGTCATCCACCGCCCATCAACCACCACCACCATCGACTTCCGACCACAACCTGTCCGTCTCGACTTCACACACCTCCGTTTCCCTTACCTCCGGTCCGAACCCTCCTAGCATCCTACCCCGTAGACGCAGTCCGTTCTTGTCGCTCATTTATACCCTTTCCAAAACGATCGCGACCTCCATGCGCTGAGTGGAAGCTTTGTTCAATCGAGAGCGCCTCCATCGTCGCATTCCGTCGTCCACTTGGGGAGAGTACCCATTGCCGAGGCTAGCCACTGCGACCGCCCACACATAGACGCAACACCCAGCAACGACCTTTGCCAAAGATGTCGCTCGCCGCCCTCGACGGCCTCAAGGTAGAGCTAAGCATAGAGACGAGAAACAAAGTGCGGGTGGACTGACGCGCATCTACAGGCCGCAATCGAGCGCATCATCCTCGACCCCAAGTACCACGACATCCTCGCCGTCGTCAAAGGCGCCCGCAATGGAGCCGTCTACGGCGCAAAAGTTCGCTTTCCTCATGCCCTTGTGTATGTAGTGAATCCTCCAGTCCACTCTCATAGTCAAACAAAATGCTAACATGAGGCCCCTTTACAGCATGATATTCCTCTTCCGTTCGGGAACGTACGTTACCACCCTCCCCACTCCCGGCGAAACCACCTCCCAGCTAACATAGCAAACCCCTCAAACAGACTCCGCCAAAAAGCAGGCCTCGTCTTCCGCGCGACCCGAACCCACGCCCGCAACCTCGCCAAGTTTGCGACAATCTACAAGCTCACAATGTACCTCCTCAAAAACTACGGCCCCAGCCCGGGCAAGGAAGGGCCCTACGACTCCTTCTTCGCCGGCCTGCTGGGCGGCTACATCGTCTTTGGCGGGCGCTCCCCGCGCAGTGGCAAGATCTCGAGCGTGAACCAGCAGATTGTCATCTACGTCTTTGCGCGCGTCGTCTTGGCGCTCGCTCGCCTCGCCGTGGCGCCCGGCAAGGGCCTGCCCGTCGTCAGCCGCGACGACGTCTCGGCCAAGATTAGCTACTACGCGTGGCCCGTCTTCGCGAGCACGAGTTGGGCCATGGTCATGTACCTGTTCCGCTGGCAGCCGCAGGAGCTGCAGCCTAGTCTGCGCAGCAGCATGACGTATATTTACCAGCAGAGCAGCGAGTGGGATTCGCTGAGGAACTTTATCTGGCATAACAAATAGACGAGACCGGCGCTTTCTTATTGGGAGTTTCTGGTGGGCTGCACGGCGTGTACTATCAGACGATTTGGCGTTGGTGGCGAGCTGTCTTCGGGTTTGGCTTTTTGTTTGTTATTGGATATGGTGAATGGATGATGAGATACACATTACGGAGAACTCTGGTGGGATCTTAACAGCTTCGTGACATTGCATCATAGACCGGTCTCTCACTCATATACAAGTACGATTTGGCTTTTATCATCTATTATCTAGGGCTGACCTGGTCATGTGTGCTGCCACTTGCTCGAACATGGGTATATCACACTCAACACTGATTTTGATGCACCTCGAGACTACGTGTATTCATCAATGGAATACGGCCAGACCGAACCCAACTGATTCATACTTTCCCGCACATCATCACGAACCTGAGGCTAGGCTCTATACCCCCCCTCAATCACATTTCCGTCACCAGCAACAGCAGGCACCCCTCTAGGTCGGGGGGTCAGGACAAACCGGGCTGGGTGGTGGAGTGGTCCATGGTCAACAATGTAAAAAATCGCCAAACAGCCTTACTCGACGACAGGCTTAGCGCACACGAGAGTACCCGAGTTCAAATTCCAGCATGAGCACCTGGAATTTCCCAGTATGAGCACCAAGAGATGTAGCCACACCGGTGGTGAACTCTTTTAGGTTTTCGGGAAAGGCTTTTAGATGCTGGACTCAGGCAGACCTTCTTTTCTTAACTTACGTGGATGATCGCGTGATCTTTCACAGCACGGCAATATGTTGTGGGATTACTACCTTATTGCCGTTGCTGCAGTAGAACAGCGCGAATTCGGTGTGTTTCCCACCCCATTTGGACGGGATCCCGTGGGCCGGAAGCCGGATGGCAGAGAAGTGGACGCGGCCTTGGTGACCCGCCTAGGCTATCCCTTACCTTATGTTCAGGTAGAGAATGGCTTCGGGCCAGGACGAGAGGAGGAAAGCCCCGCTGATGCGTTGGATAGCTTGCCGTGAAGAAAGGGATCGTTGCCTGGGTTTCGCGCGGGGACGGATGGGTGAGTTGTTTGGTGTAGGGCTGTGGTGGGTTGTGAGGTGGACATCGGTAGTGAGGATAGTGAATAGGCGGGGGAGTGTGTTGCGAGAGATCGCCTTAGAAGACGGAATGGGAATGAGGATCATGGCAATTGATCTCAGAATTCATGTCAATGGGCAGGAAGTGATCGTCTTTTCATGTGTATCGGGTATTTGTGCGTAGGCTACCAAAGTCCGTTTGATACTCATGGTTAGCTGGAGCAGCGTGCTGTCGCTTCATTCTGAAATAATGGGAGCGGTGGATGTTGAGCTCAGAATTGAAGCCATCGTGAGATTCCCCCGTTGCTCCCCCTGCTTGCTGCAGAATGTCAAATGCAGGGATGAATGGAAGTTCACGGCAGGTGGGTCTCCTCGCAAACGGCGTGGCGTGTGGCTGGTGGATACTTAGGAGATAATGAACGCCACGTTGAAACTAATCGCCGACGACCAAGATCCCGTCCATCATCCCAGATCTCGGACCGGTAGGTTGCAATTACAAGAAAAATTCCTCTCATTGAAGGATTATCAATCATCTGCCCACGGTGGACGTCCTCCTTTTACGTACTAGGGCAGCAATTGTCATAGCATTTCGATCCAGCCACGGCTTTGAGATTACCTGATCCAGACCCTCGAGGTTCGCCTAGCAAAGTACGACATGAACAGGCTTCATCCCACTCCCGACCTAGTCACCGCGGGCTCTTGGTGAAGCTTGGCTTTGGTGTTAATTGTTCCCGGCGAAAACCCGAGGTCCGGTAGTGCGGCAGGGTAATGCTGTGTGGGGACAGGTCTGAATCGCCGGGCCGTTCGCCGCAACCTCGTGGCATTTCTCAGCATGTCAGAACTTTTGCTCCGACTTTAAGGTTGTATGGCTCTGTTCCTGGTTCTTGAACTCTGGCCGACGCCGCAGAAGTCTTGGAATGGGTACTAGCAAGGCTACATTCAAGCTTCACCATTGGACCCTGGGCAAGATCAATTGTTGGCTAAGGTACTGATCACCGCCAGGACGTCACCACGCTCTCTGTGCTCTCCCTACCGTTTCGTACCCCCTGTTGCACGACAATAAGTTGATCAAGTCACAAGCTTGAAGCTGTCAAACGCAGCCCCACCAACATCCACGCGCCCCGTCTTCGTTGCCTCGCAGTCTCTGGCATCTCTGCTGTTCATCGTACTATACGATTTCTAAGCAAAGCCTTGAAAACTTCGTCTGCCGACGTGGCTGCCCACCCAAGTGTCGAAGAGAGCTCGGACGCTCAACCCGCTTTTGGCAATATCGGGCCCAATTCGACTTCATGATTCGTTGCCTTCTAGGTTATCGCTTGTCATCGTCTTTTTGCCCACACGGACCCGTTCCGTTGCGGAGCCGCAGTTCTTTCTACACTAGTCGAGAGACCTCGTCCAAGGGGTTTCGATACGTTCGAGAACTTTTCCTTTTTGCCCAAGAACACCGCGTGTAGCGCCTCACAGAGTACCTCGGATTCTTCAGACTACCTTTGGAGTGGCATTTACCCAACCCACACACCCCTATCCCTTCCATCGTGGAGCAGCGCAAGGCACAAGCACCAGAACCCGGCTTCGGTTTCACCGCTCGGAGAGTGAGCGGATCTGGTGTCTCGCTGAGAAATGGACGGTAAGGCGTGGGACCCGCTTGCCGAGTTGTCGCCGTGTACGACGGAGGGGAGGTCATTTCTAAGCTATCCAGGGCCATGGGAAAAGTCTTTTCGCCCAATGGATCAACAAACTCGTTGCGTGAAGATCTGGCTGTGAGGGGTAATACTGCCGCTGAGGACTGCTCATGTTCCTAGTGGGACTCTCCAGATGATTCCACGACGACGCCGTTCCTGGTGGGCTGGCCGACTTACACCAAACATTTGGGACATACAAATACCCTCAAGATCTCCCTCTTTTCAAGTAGTGAAGAGAACCATCATCACAAGCATATATATTCTTACATCTCTCTGATCTACAGTCAATCTCATTTCTCTACTTCCAACTAAACTACATTTCTAGATACCCCCCTTCAATTTTCGAAACCTATCTTTCCAATCAATCACAATGGCCGCCGAGAACACCAAGCTCTTCCAGCCTCTCAAGGCCGGCAAGATGGAACTCGGCCACCGCGTCGTCATGGCTCCCCTCACCCGCTACCGCGCCGACGATGACTCCGTTCCCCTCGACCTCGTCTCTCAGTACTACGCCGACCGCGCCTCGACCCCGGGCACTCTCATCATCACCGAGGCCACCGCCATCTCCCCGGCCGACGTCGGCGACCTCGACCTTCCCGACTTTTCCACCCCGGCCCAGATCGCCGCCTGGAAGAACGTCTTTGACGCCATCCATGCCAAGGGCAGCTACGTCTTCCAGCAGCTCTGGTCCCTCGGCCGCGCTGCCGACCCCGAGTTCGTCCGGGGCCGCGGCTTCAAGTACTGCTCCTCCTCCGACGTCCAGATGACCGGCCGCCCCTGCAAGCCCGACGCCCTCACCGAGGAGGAGATTTGGGAAAAGATCAACAACTGGCGCGTCGCCGCCCGCAACGTCATCGCCGCCGGCGGTGACGGCGTCGAGATCCACGGTGCCCACGGCTACCTCGTCGACCAGTTCACCCGCGACTCGGCCAACAAGCGCACCGACAAGTGGGGCGGCTCCGTCGAGAACCGCGCCCGCTTCCTCCTCGAGATCGTCAAGGCCGTCGTCGAGGAGGTCGGCGCCGAGCGCGTCGCCCTCCGCCTGAGCCCCTTTGCCACCTTCCAGGAGTCCTACTCCACCAGCCCGGACACCTGGGAGCAGACGGCCTACATTGTCCGCGAGATCAAGAAGGCCGGCCACAAGCTCGCCTACCTCTCCCTCGTCGAGGCCGTCGGCAACCCGGTCAACCTCGGCATCGTGCCCCGCCAGGTCACAGACGACGTGCAGCCCTTTGACGAGGCCAAGCCCCAGACGCTCGACTTCATCCTCGAGGAGTGGGATAACATCTCCCCCGTCGTCGTCGCGGGCGGCTACCTCGGCGACAGCGCCCGCTGGGCCGTCGACGAGCGCTATGCCAAGTGGGATGTCGCCGTCGCTTTCGGCCGCTACTTCATCTCCAACCCGGATCTCGTTTTCCGCGTCAAGAACAACGTCGCCTTCACCCCTTACGACCGCACTACTTTCTACAAGAAGAAGAGCAACGATGGCTACAACACGTACGAGTTTAGCGAGGAGTACAAGAAGGTCAACGGTGTTAACGGCTCCGCCTAAATATTCTGTTACCCAAAGATATTGAGACAGATTGGGCCTGGGAATGGTATAGAGGATATGGGCATTTACGTGCATAGCATTGGAGTTTTTGGGTTTGGCATGATAAAAGACCTATAAGGGTCGATATAGATATACACGAATACAATTTTTCTCTTGTCTACTTCCATACTTGCCGTCTCCGTGACGAAGTTGAATTCTTCCCAGTGTATCGGACCGGGCCGAAGCTCCCTGGGTGCCTTACCATTCTTTCGTGGTTCGTTCTTTTGCTCTCGTAAAACCTTCTCATCACGTCCCGCCACAGAAATCTACCCAGCGATGTGGATTCTGCTTAGTAGCAGCAAAGCCGGCCCTTTCTGGTATCCCGGATCCACAACTTTAGGATGCTCGCTTTCTTTTAGCTCGGGCTTCATTCAGTTGAACATAGCCGTCGTGAACTGATAGGATGGTGATACAACAAGTTATCACCTTCAATTTGTAGTACAGGAGGCTCAGCCTGCTCTGCCTCGGATGCTTTATGTCTTACTGAAGAAGTAGAGTCTGGTCTATTTGGCTTTAATTTGAAGTAGGCTGGGCGGTTCAAGCGTTTCTTCAAAGCGAATGCTGGCCTACGGCCGTGAGATCTTCGCAATGATACATGATCAACTCGCCAGTACTTGCCTGACCGACCAACACAAGACTGTAGGCCTGGCTAGCAGTGGCACACAGTCTATATA